GTGCTATACGAAATGTAATGATTATTATTATTACAAATAAAAATAATATAACCCTTGCACTTTTCATGTCTCATCGTCCTTACGCTCTAGTCCAGGTGATCAGAAAGAATAATCAACAGGTAGAGATACAGGTGAGGAACAATGAAAAAAGGCAAGTGAGCAGTCTCTCTGCCAGAAATTACTGAAGTGAATCAGTATGCATTTATACAGGCCAGGGTAAGGTCTTGGGAGTCCTGTACAAAGTTGGGGTTGTAAACCCAGCAAGGTGGGGGGTGGGGATAAGTAATAGCCACTGGTGGTAGACTTTAAGGCAGGTCTTCAAGACGAGACACAAAAAAAAGAGGCACAGACGTATAGGGAAGTAGTTTCACAGGTTAGGTGACTGGTGGGGTAGGAGGAGGGACTCAAAACAAGCCCAATTATGGCAAGCAGAGGAGTGGGATAGGAGAAGATCAGAGAGAGAAGGAAGCATCACATTGAGAAAGAATTGGAGGTCCACATTCGTATCTCGAAATGTCCTTGCTTTATAAAATCAGCAATAAAATTGCTTCTATTTTCCTATTAAATGACCCCGCCACAAAGTTTGTGCACAAAGTTGAATATCAAAATAGAGACAATTCAATTGCAACTCACAAAAGTGTAACACTCACAAAACGATGGCAATTTTAAGTGGTGAATACAACTCTGAAACAAGAGCGGGCTATTACTGTACCTGAGCTACGGAACCTTTCATCAATGCTACTCGTCTAGTTTCAGCTCTCTAAGGCACTTTTTTTCCCACGTACTACATTAATGTGCATTCGGTATAATACCTTCTTAATTGGATAGACAAGGGTGAAGTCATTTAATGGGCATGAAATGACTTGCTAGAAAAGGAGGCTTTGAATTATTCACAGATTGTATTGCAAAAAACTGCACGGAGATTGTGAAGACTGACCTCTAGCATTCTCACCAGAATCCCTTTATAGCGGTGCAAATACTTTTAAAAAATCAGTGTGTCAGAAAGAGTTTGGGGAGGGGAATTGAAAGCATGGTCGACTTTTGTCTACTTTTGTGACTTTATTGCCTGGGGGAAGAAAAATGTTAGAAGCTACGTCAAAGTCCAGCGACAATGACCGACAGTGACAATTTTGTTTCAGCATTCAAAGCAAGAAAAAGTAAAATGAATATCAAACTTCAACAGAGGACTTTAATTTGAAGGCAAAGGGAATAAAATTATATAAATGGTACAATTTTCATGAAGTTTGTAATTGGCTCATTGTATATTCATATATCTGCCAAATCTGACATTTAACTATAAAGAAATCTCCCACACATGCAATAAATCTTGGTAATACCAGGTAATTATTATGCTGTATTCCAGATGTGTTTCTTTTACTTAACCACAATCTATATTTTGCATTGTGCAACTGCTTGAGAAGAACACTGGACTGCACAATGCTCTACATTTCCACCATTCAGACAAACAAAATCCCTATTGGAAAAATGCAAGAGTTGACAGTGTCCCTTAACTGATATTTTATATATATATATGTGACTTGGAGAGAAATTTGACTGGAAACATAGAAACACAGAAACAGAAGGAGGCCATTCAGCTCCTCAAGCCTGTTCCGCCATTCTATAAGATCATGGCTGCTCTGTACCTCACGTTCAATTACCCGGTCTTGCCCCATATCCCTTAATACTTTGACCTGACACATATCTATCCACCTCAGGCTTGAAGATGTGAATGGATCCAGCATCCACAGCCTTTTCGGGGAGAGAGTTCCAGATTTCAGACTATGCTCCGTCTCCTTCATGAACTCAAGAGAACATACCATGTCCCTTAACACTCAAACGTTGTGGTACAGGTATTTTTGAACTGTCTTGGTTTCTCTCCTCCTCATTCCAATCTCGTACTCTGTGCAGTATCAGGACCTCTGCCCCACACCACCCATCTCAGTTTCTTGTCATCACATGAAAAACATGATTAAGTGAACTTGGTTACATTTTCTCGAAGTGGTGGGACTGGTTTCAACATGAAAGGTTTGATACACTTGATCTAAACGCTCTGGGACCCCATCTCATGTGAAGAACGCTATATAAATGCAAGTTGGTGTTACAATTCCCAGTTTTCTGCGTGTATAGATTGTAAGCAAAAGCCCTCCAGCACAGACTTTTAGATGACAAGGCTTACAGGCATGAGAGAGAAGATTGGTCATGAAGAGACATAAAGAAGTAAACACTGCACTGTCGGTAACAAAATAGAACCCATTGTAAATGCGCAATGGGTTCATCAGCATCTGAGAGATTGGGCTGACGGTTTGGGGGTCTGACCTTTTACCAAAGCTCAAAACAATAAGCTGTCTTTCTCTTTCAGATCCTAATCTACCCGCTGCACATTCTGAGCATTTTCCGTTTCTATTACTAACCGAGTCAAGTTGCAATGAGACCCATAGAGGCAACGAATGGGTGGACCCACTATACCACTATAGGAGTGAGAAAGGTGGCAGTTATACCTGTGATTTTACTTGTGTGTGGTTAAACCAGAAATGTGCCTTGCTAAAATATCAGCACAAGAATACATGAAGGACTTACCGTATAGCTTCGCACTGTTGGGCACAGATGGATACAGAAATTGCATACGGATGAATTAGTCAGCAGATAAGATCAGGGGCTCCCCATATCCGTCAACGTTGGCTACAGGGACTACAGCTTTTGTGATTCTGAAAATTCTGTTCTAACGTTTCCAAATGTTGAATTTTACTCTGACTGGGGTGGTTCTCGTCTGTTAGGTTTTATATATTCTCTCGTCCTTCCTTATCGCCAAAATTTGACTCTGCACCAGGTGACTGGTGGCGGCAATGTGAAACCATGTCAACAACAACAACCAACAATTTGCATTTGTACTGCGTAATTCACTCAGAATAGCATCTCGGACTAATGTCACCTGATGGGGCTACACGGGGTCAAAAAGAAATCGCGTTAAAAAAAACTCTCGTGTTATAATAATCTCTGCGTTCGATATTGATATGGGAGAGGCTGCAGCCAATTTATCAACAAGACTGGTCCTTTTTAATTACCTTCATACTCTCGTTGACCAAAAAATCCATTTTGCATAAACTACCCCCCCTTGCTCTTCTTCATTTCATTTCTGTGTTTTGCATTTGGAAGTACAATATCTTCACATTCTCCCAAATCAGGCATTTTACACTTGGCCCTGCACTCCCTTTTCTTAAAAAAAACTATTCTTTTGAGCCACACAAAATCAGAAGCTTTTGATGAGAGAGCTTGATTAATAATAATAATCCTTGCAATCGATATAGTGCTTGTCTAGACATCTCAAAGCGCTTCACAGAGTATACCGTGAAGTGAATTGACTGTATATTTGTGTATATTATATGATTTCTTAGAAAGTATGTTCTCTTTAAAACCTCAAGACAAAACAGGGTTTCATATTGTTTATGTACACCCCCCACCCCTCCCTCCATGACTATATTATAATAGCCCTTGCATTTAATATAGCGCGTTATCATATCATTGAGACGTCTCAAAGTGCCTCACAGGATATACTGTAAAGTGGGTTGACTGAGTATCTTGCAGGCTGAACGTGGCAGCCATAGTATTCTAGATACTGTGAAATCCTCCTCTGGAAAAATATATATACAGTATAAGTGTCTATCGAATTGTGGATTTATTGAATAGGACTGAGATTTCAGGAGAATGTGTGAACCACTGTAAATTATGCTTTCCAAATTAATTTTTAACTCATCCCCCACCTCTCTCCACACACACACACACACACACACAAAAACCCCACCACTATGAGGTTTCTACTAAGAGTCCAGGAGAGTGAACAGAGTTGATTCTGAAACAATTATCTAAATAGCACACTGCACAGAGGACTTTGACAAAGCACCTACATCAGAAATTGTTGCTCGAGTGAAGGCAGCGAACGAGTGAGAGAGTGAGTGAGTGAGTGAGTGAGTAAGAGTGAGTGGCACTGTGTAAAATGAGAAGTGAAAGATCATGATAAGCAGCCTAGATAATACTTGTCGCTTTTCTTATTTCTTGCAAGTTCCCAGGCTGACCTCGCTGGGCATTTAATGCCAATTCTCTGCCCTCCCCAACCCCCCCCCCAAAAAACCTCTGTAATGCAGCTAGCTGGCAGATAAACTTGGATAGAAGTCTTTATCAGATTTTTCAACACGACTTAACAGTGACTTGAAGTTGTAGGAGGGAGTGAGACTGCCATCTGCAGGCAATAAGTAGATTCAAGGGTAGACAACAGGGTGAACGACAGAGGGAAGGAGGGGGGTAAAAAAAGGAATTAAACAAGAGCCCCATCACCCAATTCACACGAGCAGAATCCTCAGAATATGCAGTCAGGTTTTGACTTATTGGACTGATTCCCTTTGTTTTCTGATTTTGGGGAAAAAAGGGAAATTCTAGATACTGTGAAGCTGGTCTACAGTCAGGTTCAAAAATACAAGATCAATGCTATGCTTTTTCCCTCCTTGCCATCCCGCTAAAAGCCAGAGAGAGAAAAAAAAATTGTGCATCGATAATCCCTGAGAGATTCGTGTCTTTTTAATTGAGGGAATAAAAAAATCTCCAGAAACTCAGTATTTTTCTCTAAGCTAAAGAAGGGAGCTTTAAAAGGCACGTCCGGCATCAGGTAAGGTTTCAAAGTGAGCTTCAGTTGCTGATTTTAGTATTATTATTATTATTATTATATTGGAAGAAGAAAAAAGCATTGCAATGTCTTGCATTTACACCACTTTTTTTCAGGACTGATCAGAAGATTTTTTGGAAGGGCTACAAGTGCTTGTTAGTGGACCTGATAAACATACCCGTTGGTTGGGTTTCATGACAAGTTTTGCAATGAACAGTTACTAGAGGAAAGGAAAAATGGGGGCAATGTGTTTTTTTAATGCATTGCATTTTCAAGTACAACCTCTTTGAGTACAAATCACCAGGAAGACAAGACCAGACAGACAGACAGGACTGAAAGTTCTTACCTGAGAGAATGGAGGCAGCTCTGAATATGTCTGATAGTCTGTTGTTCACTGGTTCATAGGGAGAACCCGAAAGATCATCGCCTGTAAAAGGTAGACCTTTATCAGAAGCTCATCCGCAAAGTTGGTGTGTAAAATAAAACCCTTGGGAAAAAAAAGTCACCTAAACCTCCTCCCCCAAAATATATATTATTTATATCTTTATATATATATATATATATTGATTTATATTTATACAATAGAACACACCAAAAAGTTCAGTTTGTATTATTGCCTACAAATGTAAACCTTATCAGAGGCTCATTCACAAAGTTGGGGGGGGGTGTTAAAAAAAAATGGGGGGGGGGGAAGAATTCACCCCCACCCAAAATAAAAATATTTTTACAGCTACTTATATTTATTCGTACGCTTGGGTATCCATCCCTACCATGCATGAAACTTTGGTGAATGCTCCAATATATTCGGAGGCATCGCTTCTCATTTTTCATGCCTCTTTTACACCTGCAGTCGTACAGGGGGCTTTGCTGGAGAGCTTCCATTGCGTTGATGCACTCGTTCTTGGCTTGGGGTCCCGTCACCATGCTGGAACTCCCGGCTAGGCATTGCCTGAATGTCCGGTACTTGCTGCTACAGCTGGAGTCGCTGGTACACAGTTCATTAGCTTTTACACAATCCACACGGTTGTTGTTGACACCTGCCGTCTGAGCTATCACATCTGGAAGAGGTGGACAGAGAGGCAGAGAGATTGGGGGGGGGGAGAGAGACAGAGAAAGAGATAGAGGGAGAGGGAGAGAGATAGAGAGAGAGAGACACACAGAGAGAGAGAACAGCAAGACAGAAAAAGCCTGTTATTTCCAATATGCCTCAGATGCATATTTCCAATATACAGTGACAATAATAATATATAATGATCCTTGCATTTGATACAGCGCCTTATCGCGTCTTCGAGATGTCTCAAAGCGCCTCACAGAATACACTGTAAAGTGAAGTGACTGTATGTTTTGTGGGCGAAAGTATATATGTATATATTTTCAATTATATATATGCTGTTGAATCAATTGCTGTATGTGGACAGTCAATTCACTTTACAGTGTAATCTGTGAAGCGCTTTGAGACGTCTTGAAGACGTGATATATCAATGCAAAGATTAATATGTCGATGTGTGTACAGATATATATATATATCTATATACATACACATTAAATCGGCAATAAATAACAATAGCCATAACTATAGGTTGATGCCCCCGAGGACAATGAATGCATAGAATCCAAACGCTGACAATCATGTTATTATCACAGCTTTATATTTCCAAATTATGTAACGGGTTATGTCATCAATAACAAAGCATATTAAGTGATGAATTTGGCTAGATATGGATCATTCTAATGACCCCGTTTCGGAAGCAATGTGATCCAAAGAGGTGGTGGGTGTTTTTTTTTGAATATCAACACTTTTTACAANTTTTTTTTCAATTACATTTTTTGAATCAACAAATACCCCAATTTTAGAAAACTACAGTGAATGCATTAGAATTGATTACCGATCAAAGCGCAGCCAAAACCCAATAATTTTTTTTATATATGTGTGTGTGTGTGTATATATATATATAATATAAATAAGTATATATAGAAACAGTTTTTTAACATAACATAATCCTCGGCTCACAACACAATAGAGCTAGTGAGTTACTTCACTGTTAAGTTTCTAAACAGAGCCACTGTTTAATAATAATAATAATAATATAATAATAATACTAATAATAATAATAACAATAATAATAATAATAAATAAAAGGGAGATTTTTTTTTCTGGAACAGTAAGAAAATGTGTGCCTTACCTATCAAAAGCAAAACGACATACAAAGCTGCAGAAATCATCTCGTGTGGGATTTTTTTTCCTGGGTGTTTTTTTGTTAAAAACAACAGCTTCTGCTGAAGCTCAGGAAGAGAAGGCGAAATGAGCTTTGTTGGGGGGTTCACATTCAGGACTTTGTCACACTGACCAACGATGCCAATCATTCCCAGATCAGATCCTTGTTATTTCTGGCCATGGACACCAAACACAACCCACCCCCACCCCCCCCCACCCCCCAAAAGCCCCCTTTAAACCCCCTCTCTGCCCCCCCACAAACCAGAAAACAATACAACCACCTTCACATTCATTCACAAAACCAGTTTCACTGGAGATTTGGTAGTGGGGAGTGGAGAGGGGTGGTGTTGGGGGTGGGGGGGGTGGGGGGTGGAAAAATAAATCCTCTCCCACTTCCAAGCAGACACACAGACACCTCTCTTTCTTTTTCTTCCTTTCTTTCCTTCCTTCCTTCTCTTGCTATGTCACCCAAAAAAAAAAAGCACAAGTGACCACCCTCCTCCTCTCTCTCTCTCTCTCTTTCTCTCCCTCTTCCCCCCTCTCTCTCTCTCTCTCTCTCTCCCTTTAAATCACAGCAGCAGCAGCTGTTGGGTCGGTGTTGGGAGCTGCAAAGTAACGTTAGAAACCCAAACGGTCCATCAGATCAGCTCCAGATCAGCTCCAGCGCTCCTGGTTACAGATGTGTCTGGTGTATCCACTCTGCAAATGCAATGTGCAATACGATCAAGCAAAGAGCCACCAAAAAACCTCTTGCATTTCACTCCAATATCAACGTCCTTCCTCTGGTGGATTACTCCAACTCTGACCCAACACACACACACACAACACACACACACACAGCCACTGACTGACTGACTTGACTGACTGATTGCCCTATACTGTGGGTTTATTTTCTCTCCACTCCCCCCACTACACCCACTCCACTCCCCCTGACTGCTATCTTTCTTTCTCCCTTTTGTGACAGATTTTTAAGCTGATGGTAGATAGATGGTGTGCAGATTTCCTCTCTCTCTCTCTTTCTTTCTTCTCTCTCTCTCTCCCTCCCTCCCTCCCTCCCTCTCTCTGTGGGTCTCCCCTTGTTAATTTCTGTTTGACCAGACTGCTTATGCATTAACCTGTTTGTGGGGTATTTTTTTGGCATTGGGATGGGTTTGGTTGGGAGAGGAGGAAGGTCATTTCCCCACATCCCCCCCTCCCCCCACCACTTGCTCCTTAAGATGAAGGGAGAGAATGTAGGGGGTCTGTATGGCATTTATATATTAATAACAATAATAATCCTTGCATTTGATGCAGCGCCTTATCACGTCTTCGAGACGTCTCAAAGCGCTTCACGGAATATACTGTGAAGTGAATTGACTGTATAATTTGCTGATTGGCGGATCACTTTTCCAGGGGTAACAACCCCTTCAAATAAATAACTAAATAATAATAATAATTTGGTCACTCAATCCGCGACTGTTTGTGGGACGCTGCTGTGAGCAATTGGCTATCGCGTTTCACCCACAAAACATACAGTCGATCCACTTTACAGTGTATCCTGTGAAGCACTTTGAGGCCCTATATCAAATGCGAGGATTATTATTATTATTAGATCATGGCTGATCTGTTCCTCAACTCCAAACTCCCAAGACGAATGCAACTCCCATCAACCATCACCACCCAACTCAAATTATACTTTAACTGGCAAAAGGCAACAAATTCGACCCATTTGGGAGTTGGGTGGGTGGGTGGGTGGGAGCATGTACATAGGCATGTGAAGGGGCTTGTATTTGGGAAGAAACCCACGGCATTATTGCGCAGGCAATATGGATATTCCTAGTACGTAAAAAGATGGTGATAGCGAGATCTCCTGTCCTGACTTATTGACTGAGTGGGTGGTATGTATCCAGGCACAAGGTACTGTAGAAGCTTTCGGCAATAGCACAAGCACAAAAGGATTATTGATTATTTATTATAAATGTGTCAAGCTTCCAGAAAACCTTACCCCCTAGCACAAACCCATGGAGGTGTTTAGATAGATAGACAGACAGACAGAGAGGGAGAGAGGGAGAGAGAGAGGAGAGACAGACAGACAGACAAATCAGCAGAACTGTTTTGTGTGTGAAAAAAAGTTAATTTGAAAGTTAAAGAGAAATTCCTCTCTCTTTCTCTCGCTCTCCCCTATATCTTTCTCAAATACTGCAGAATCTCTCCTCACTTTAACACATTAAAAACAACATGAAGCTTGGAGGCTAATCCCAGAGCTGAACCCGTTGATCCATATGGAGGTTAGGTCGGTGCTTAAAATAATAGCAGGTTTGGGGATTTTAAAAGCTGGATTGATCAGGTTTGCACTTAAAATACAAGTGCAAATTCAAGTTCTGTCTCCTCCGCCACACTGGGACTTCTCATGTTAGGCTGACTTCAGTATAAATAGTGTGTTTATGTCGGAAACAGGAACTGCCTCTCCTTGTTGGGGATCACATTACCTTCAACGTGACAATCTCATTCAGAAAGTCAAGTAGCAATACCGGAGGTTAAGAACTAGCAAAAAAGCAAAACGGGTTCAGCCAACCTTTCCCCTTGACTATCACCAAATGTGTCACCAAATCTGTGTACAGTACAGTTATGTGTTGGTTTTCCAATACTCCAGTGTCTCCAATACTGTACAATAGAATCCTGAAATAACTCCTTTTTTCATTTGACAGCACGTTTTAGCCATATTTGTGCCGACGGGAGCCAGACATGAGCCAAGCCTTTGTAAAGTCAGATTCAAAACATGATCTGTTTTTATCAGTTGACAAAGGAGTGTTGAGTAAACACAGGTGGCATATGTCGCTAGCTCTACAAATCTGTAACTGAACAGATGGTCCCAAGGAAGAAAAAAGACTGTTTAGTTAGACTCCCAATGAGGGGAACCCAATTGTGTTTCACCAGCCTTAAATCTTCAAAGCTCGAAGCGGAGCGAGTGAGTGAGAGAGAGAGACTAGTCCGTCCCAATTTTCCACGGGGATTGTATAAAGTCTGTCGAAGTTGTCATCAATACAGGACATGCACGCCCATCCAGAAGAGGTTAAGATTTCAAAGGCTTCAAGGCATTAAGCATCATGTTTCCTCTGAAGTGTAACAGCAGAGGGTACATGACAATTTGTCGAGAGCCTTTTTAGATGCAGGGCATCTAGCACAGTAAAAATAGACCGTGTGAATGAATCCACAGCACAACAATGGGAATGCAAGTAAACTAATATACATTACCCTACTCGTGGGGACAGTCGTGTGCTGAAAGGAGATGTTTTTGGATCCTATCTTTTGGGACAGATTTGGGTGAGTGAAATGTGTTAAGTGCTACAGCATATTGGTAATAAGCTTAGAGTGGGCGGTTTCCATTTCAACTGTAGTCATAATAATAATCTTTGCATGTGGTAAAGTGCTTTTCGAGTCATGAGGACATCTCAAAGTGCTTCACAGGATAAAGTGCAGTGTTGTGACCGTGTATTTTGTTGGCGGACAAGGCAGTCAAGTTGCACGCAACAATGTCTCACAAAAAGTCATGGAGTGAATGACCATTTTCTTTTAATCCTTGGGGATTGTTGGCCAGGACACTGAAAGAAACTCCCTTCTCTTTTCGAATAGTATCATGGGATCTTTAATGTCCACCTGACAGGATCTTGGTTGAGCACTAATTTGGTAATAATAATAATAATGGTATTTGCATTTGATATAACGCCTTATCACGTCTTCATGAAGCCTCAGAGTGGTTCACATAATTGACTGTAAAGTGAATTAATTGTACCTTTTGTGGGCTAAACTCAGCAGTCAGTTGCGCACAGCAGCATCCCACAAACAGTTATAATAAGTGATATTATTTTTTAAGGGTTTATTACCCCCGGAAATGCAATCTGCCAATCAACTAACAACAGGGTTCCTACCTACTGCTAGGTAAAAAGAGGCGTGTGGAGTAAGGAAATTTGCCCAATGTTTAGCCCTGCCGAGGAATCGAACCCAGGTCCTCTGGCTTGCGAGGCGAGTGCTCTAACCACTGAGCTGCAGGACTCCAATTTGGTAGCATTGAATGAGTAAAGAATTTTTTATTTGACTGACTTTGGCCCAACGAAACCCCATACAGAGCGTGAGTATTTTTCGTGGATGATATTCCTGCCATTCATTATAATGCTAGCGTGATGCCATGCAGAAAATAGCAGTGTAGGCATTAGGGTGCTCTGCATGCAATTCTTACCAGTTTGCAAGTTCAAATGCAATGTGAACCGTTAATACCAATGAACTGAATACACCAATTGCGCCAAACTATTATTGCGGGAGTGGGGGGGGGGGGAAGAGGTGGGGGGTGGAGGTTCTAATTAGCAAAACTAAATTTGCAAATTGTTTTGTTGCTTAATCTACCAGAAGTCAAAGTCACATCGCGGCCGACTTTAGTCTATTAAGACTGAAGTCAAAATGATTGACGTATTTTATAAATAACCATCAGAAAATGTCAGATAAAAGGTACTGTACATTCCATAATGATGTTTGCAGAGGACACTGCACTAATACTGATAAATGTAATCCATACTAGCAGGCAACACAGTGAATTTAAAGATCCCTCATTGCAATGAGCTGTGCTTGGGTATTATACAGGATGTACAGATTGGAAATGTGCAGGAAATCATTTCAGTTTCATTTGGCCCAAGGACAGCAGGACACCCCAGGGGAACAAAAATGAGAATATAATCCTTCCATTTGATATAGCACCTGATCAAGTCATCCAAATACCTCAAAGCGCTTCAGAGGATCTATTCCAAGTATAGCAATTGTGTAATTGTAGGCAATCACGACAGCTAATTAGCACACAGTAATGTCCCGTAAATAGCCTGGAAGTGAATGGTCAATTGTATCTGGAGGAATGTTGGCCAGGAGAAATTTTTCTTCTCTTTTCGAATAACGGCGTGGGACCTTTAATGTCCACCTGNAAAAAAGGCAGACGGGACCTCACTTTAGCATGTCATCCAAAGGACAACAGCTCCCAAAAATGCAGTGCTTCCCCAGCGAGCTAACCTGCAAGCTTAAAGATGTGGGGCTTGAACCCATATCCTTCTGACTCAGAGTCGAGAGTGTTACGTTTTGAGTCAGGCTCACAGCAAAAAAGGTCACGTCAATGAGTAAATATGTGAACCTGGCATGGTACCTGACTATGTTTTGGGGCAATCAGGAATCAACCCCTTTTGTACGACAGCACATC